TGAGGTGGCCCTGTTGGGCCGGTAGGCATACTGCAGGGGGTCCAGGGTGCCCGGTATACTGCTCTGAATGCGGGCCAGCACCACTCTCTCAAAGCACTTCATAATGATTGGGGTGAGTGCCACTGGCCTGTAGTCGTTCAGGCAAGTGACTGGGCTCTTCTTGGGAAGGGGGACGATGGTTGTGGTCTTAAAGCAGGTGGGAACAATGCTCTGGCTGAGGGAGAGATTGAAGATGATGGTGAAAACATCAGCCAGCTCGCTGGCACATGCCCTGAGAGCCCTCCCAGGGATGTTGTCCAGTCCTGCTGCTTTGCGGGGGTTGATCTTCCTCAAGACTGTGCGTACCTGGCCTGGTGAGACTGGTGAATGGAGACAAGAGTCTACAGCCATGCTGTTGGTATGATGTTAACAATGTTCACCATCTTAGTTTGACGTTAGCATGCTAAGATTTTTTTACTTGCTGCAAGTTGAAGTTGATGGGAATGTCATTAGTTTTGCAAGGATTTGTTCATAAATCAAAGTACTGGATGAATTACATTTTTTATGTTTTATTTCTGTGCCCATGAACTGTTCCATCAAAAACAGCTCTAGTATGTTTACAGTCACAAACTTCTGTTAGACATGAGAAGATTGTGTGGTTTTGTAAATATGGCCATTCCAGTGGAAGTGCAGACAAAACACCGAGGCATTTTTTATTGTGCTGGGTGATTTTAATCACGCAAATTTAAAGACAGTCCTGCCAGGGTTTTGCCAACACATAATCTTTGCAACAAGAGGGGAGAACACACTGGATAAGGCATACACCATCTTTAAGGGAGCATACATGGCAACCCCTCTCCCCCATCTGGGCTCCTCTGACCACATTTTTGTTATGCTTATACCTGCCTATAGACCTTGGGTGAAACTGATGAGACCAGTTAAGAGACAGGTAAGAGTTTGGTCAGACAAGAGCATCTCAGCTTTACAGGACTGTATGGAAACCACAGACTGGAATACCTTCAGAGAGGCAGCCTCTCTCAGTGGACACACAGAATCAGTTATGGACTACATCAAAAAGCGCATGGATGATGTAACAACTATGAAGACAGTCACTGTGCACTCAAATCGGAAACCATGGATGACAGGAGAGGTTCGCTCCTTGCTAAGCATCCGAGACACCGCTTTCAGAGAGGGAGGCCCAGCAGCTCTGAAAACGACAAGGATCAATCTGGCCCGGGGAATCAAGAAAGCAAAACAACAATACACAGCAAGGATTAGAGACAACTTCGTCAACAGCGGGGAGTCCAAGCCATCACGGACTACAGAGCCCCCCGTCAGGCCTGTGACAGTGATGCTTCTCTCCCTGACCGGCTGAATGACTTCTATGCACGATTTGAGGCTACTAATAATACACCTGCCCAGAAAGCCACACCACAACCAGAGGAATACACTCTTTGTGTAACACCAACCTGCATGAGGAGAGTCCTGTCCCGCATTAATCCGCGCAAGGCTGCTGGGCCGGACGGCATACCTGGATGGGCTCTCAGAGACTGTGCCGACCAGCTGAAGGATGTTTTCAAGGACATCTTCAACACATACCTGCTCCAGGCAGTTGTCCCTAAATGTCTCAAATCTACCACCATCATTCCTGTGCCAAAGAAGTCCTCTGTGTCCTGTCTAAATGTCTACCACCCCATAGCTTTGACTCCTATCATTATGAAATGCTTTGAGAGGCTAGTCATGCAGCACATTAGGACCCTCCTGCCACTTAACTTAGAACCCCAGCAGTACACATATCAAACGAACAGATACACTGGAGACGCTGTTTCCACTGCACTACACATTGCCCTAACACATTCCCCCAGTCAGTGGGAATAGAAAAGAGAACTTCTAGTAACATCACACTGAGCACAGGCTCCCTTCAGGGCTGTGTGCTCAGCCCACTCCTGTTCACACTGATGACATATGACTGCACCACCAGGTTCAGCTCCAATATAATAATAAAATAATAATAAAATTTATTCATAAAGCACTTTCCAACTCAAGGAGCACAAAGCGCTACATCAATGAAAAAGATAACAGTTCAAAACTGTCAGTCTAATAAATAAGCATAAAACAGGCACAAGCACTCATAGGGGTATAACGCGATTTCTGTCCAGTCTGATACCTCCAAGGAGACTAAAAAATAATGGCCTTAAGAGACTAGTAAAACAGGTTAAACATTAAAAGCTTGTTTAAAAAGATACGTTTTTAGAGCTGACTTGAAAGGTACCAGCTCAGTTATAGAGCGTACATCTAAGGGTAAAGAGTTCCACAATCTAGGGCCATACATGGCAAAAGCGCAACCTCCCCATTTCATCCCAATCATATCATTAAATATGCAGATGATACTACAGTAGTGAGTCTTCTTACCAACAATGACAACACGCTGTATAGAAAGAGGTGGAGCAGCTGACCAGGTGGTGTGATAACAATCTCTCATTAAATGTGGAGAAAACTAAGGAGATGGTCTTGTACTTAAGGAGAGGCAGCGGTGAACACCCACATCTGACCATCAATGGAACTGCTGTTGAGAGGGTTAAACAGCACAAAGTTCCTTGGGGTGCACATTGCTGACAACACCACCTGGTCCATCAACATCACTGCTCTCATCGGTAAAGCCCACCAGCACCTTCACTTCCTGCAGAGACTGAAAAAGGCCAAATCCCCTCCACAGATTATGACATCTTTTTACAGAGGGACAATAGAAAGCATCCTGACATATTGCATCACTGCCTGGTGTGACAGCTGCACTGCTGCAGACAGAAAATCCCTGCAGAGAGTAGTAAGGGGGATGAAAACAGAACTCCACAATGAGAAAGAAATAAAGAAGACTTTAGAAAGATCTGTCTTTGTGAATTTTATTCTTGCAAGAAAGAGTAAACAAAGTGTTATGTCAGAGAAGCTCAAAAGTCAATTTGTCTCAGCCTACTTATACAGAATGCCAAGGAAAAAGAGGGAGGATGTGTCCTTTAAAAGAACAGTGTGGCTACACATTGAGTGCCTGGCAATCTAAATAACCCTGGTTTCACATATTTGGTTACAAGAATTTTACTGTTATTGCCAGTTACTGCCTGCAGTCTGTCCCAGACAGTCACCTGATTGTACCACTTCCGGCTCCAAGCGTGTTGCTGAAAAATTCCTTTAACCTTGCGTGATGATTGAATTAAATAGGACTTTAGACAGATCTGTCTTTGTGAATTTTATTCTTGCAAGAAAGAGTAAAGGGTTATGTCATCTCTCAGAGAAGCTCAAAACTCATTGTGTCTCACAGCCTACATATACAGAACGCCAAGGAGAAAGAGGGAGAATGTGCCCTTTAAAAGAACAGTGTGGCTACACATTGAGTGCCTGGCAATCTAAATAACCCTGGTTTCACATACTTGGTTACAAGTGTTTTAACGCCATATAAGGGCACTCTTCTTCTGTCATATTGCATAATCCTGAGTGTCTTTCACATGTAGCACACATCCTCCACATGTTGCACACAGTGCAACATATGGAGGACATTTTCAGGGGGGACATTACTGCAGCATATACTGGAATTGCTTTCTCTTTCCCTTTTTTTTTGTTTGTCTGAGCCCTGGCGTCTCTCTACCAGTCAGACTCCAGTTCAGCAGATGGAACTCTTTGACTTGAAGAATCACCCTGACTTTATATCGCTGGGCGGAGGGTTCGGACCTGTGAGTACCATTTACTTTCTTCTAGGTGTAACTGCACATGTAGATGGCAAGAACATACTGGGTGTGTGCCCTATAAAGTCAGCGCTCAGAAGCTCACTATATAGTTGTAAATACCAAGACACATGCTGTCATTTTAGAACAGTGAGTGGTGTGTGAGGTTCATACTAATCTCATATGATCTCTCTGGCCATGTTAGGTTGCTGATGATGGTTATGGAGTTTCTTACATCATTGTGGGCGAGGATATGATTAACTTCCATGTGTCATCCAAATACTCCTGCAGTGAGACTGTGAGTAAAGCCTCTGGTTACTTTCATCAGTGTTTAGATAAGGTGCTAATGCCATATTGATGCTTTCTTAGCATATAAGGACTACACATTTGTGACTGATGTTCTACTGTATAGTCATTCCAGCTGCGATAGTAAAGTCCATTTGGGAATAGTCATCCGACCTTGACCATGATCTGAACACACAAATCTACTGTTTATTCAGACAAAAACAACAAGTCTCTGTATGGGGATTGTTGAAAATACTATTAATATAGATAATTACCAACCTTATCCATTAAAATTATTCTGACTGAGGATAAAAACAGGTTTCTGACCTTGATTTGAGGCTGAGACAGAATTCATTCAGCTATTAAATGTCTTATGCCTAAAATCTTCCCTCCTGCCAGCATACTATTACTTTTACTGGCCTGACTATACTGATGAGACCGCTTCCTCCTCATTTTAATGGTGTGGCTGCTAGAGAATAATTAAGCTGCAAATATACTGTTGCTTCCAGGCAAATTTTAATTTTAGTCTGGACCAATTAATACGAGCCTTCGTCTATGGACCTGGCTTAGTGTCTGTAGTAAGTAAGTAAGAATTTCATTGTACAGGGAAACACGTTTCCTAACGGTGCATATGACAAATAAACACTTTGACTTTGACTTTAGTCACACACAATCTGTACTCCCAACTTCCCTTATCTAAAGAATAAGGCTGATAGAAGAGAGCAAAAAATAAAATAAAAAAAACTGTAATTATAAAGAGTTTTGGATGATACCTCAGTATTGTTGAATCTAGCGACCTTTCTCAGGGTTGCTTGTAAGAGACTTGGGGCTGGCATCTCCCTGGGCTGGCCCTTTCTGGCCATGGCATGTTGCTCTGCTGAACACTAAGTCTCTGAGGGCTGCAGGACCTTGAGACCTTTGAAAAGTTTCTCTGGCTGGTAGAACCACAGGATATTTTGCAATTTGCATTCCATACTTCCTGACTGTACCTAATACAGACATCCTACATTAGATTTTTGTTTTGGGAGAGGCTCTGACCTGTGATCAGGTCATGACAGTTGCCAGTTGGCTTTTCCTTTGTACTATTTTTAATCTGACCTTTCAACTTCCATTCCATACTTCCTGACTGTACCTAATATAGACATCCGTCATTAGATCTTCAGATCATGACAGTTGCCAGGTGACTTTTCCTCTGTACTGATTTTAATCTGACTTTTCAGTTTAGCAGGGTTTTTCTCAGGTCTGCTCTTTTTTGGAGGCTTATCAGGCCTTTAAAGTCATTAAAGTTCCCATGGCTGCTCATTTTGCTAATCTCCAGCCATTTAATGTTTAATCTTGGGTACCTCTAGATAAGCTTGGCACCACTCATAACTCCAAATAGTAATTGTTGTGTTGCAAGTGGGCAGCACAACAAACCGTGATGGCATTAATTAATCAGAATTACTGAATTCAAACAGGTAGTGTAGCACCGACAATAACATCATCCGTTCTGTAACCAGCAACACATCACATGCTGCAGACATACTGGCCTCAAACAGGCACTGTGCTCCGGGGGAATCGAGCGTTGATGAGTTGATTATTAATCGTCGTGGGAGGGGGGCTTCACTGACAGGCTGCATCTAGGCCAGGTCAGGTAGAACAGTGAGTCCCTGTACAGGAGTATTCCCAGACAGGCAGTAACTTCAGACCCTGTATTTTTCTCCACATCCTCTGGTCACAGTGCAGCAGCCTACAGGGGTATGAAGGATGATGCACACAGCTTAATTATTTACTTAAATAACTCAAAGCATTATTACACAATACCTGCTCAGTTTTCAGCTTTAGTTTTCCTTGGTCTGGCAGCCTGGTAGTGTATTGTAGTGTTGTATTACTTTCACAGGAAAACCACAAAGCATGACAAGCCAGAAAAAATGGGAACTGGTTTGCTGGCTCTCTTCCGTTTCCTTTTCATGTTCTAAAGTAGAAGCCTACATTCAGGAATGGGCAGATACATGTAGGTCAGCACGTAACAAGAAAATGTAGGACAGAAATGCCACTGTAGGTCTTCACATTATCGTCATTGATTTTGTTAAACACACTGATACCAGTATTAGTATGAGATTCTAAAGTCCAGTATTGGTTGTGAAACCACTTCAGTGTTTCCTTCCTTCTCTACCTGTGATTGTTTTATCTGCTTTTCCTTTTCCCACTCACTTGTTAGTTCTTTTGCTTTTCTTCATTTTAGGACTCTCACAGGTTTGGGACCCAGATAAATAAAGCTCTCGAGGACATTATGACCATCCTCTCTGCTGACACCAAAAGCACCTCATCCTCCAAAGGCACAGCCCAGCCTCAGTCCAAGAAGCTGTTGTGAATAGTTGAGAATCGGATATCTACACTGAGTCTAGAAACCATAACGAACTCATTATCTAGAAATATTATTATTGGCAATTAAACTATTTGGCAAAAACTTAACAAATGTTTGCCTTAAAATTCAGGCCAACTGGGTTTCGGGAATGAATATCAACATGTTTAGTTTGGAGTTACTAGAGTCATGTACAAGTGATGTTTAAGACAAAAGGAAAGCTGAATCTCTAGTAGAGACAAACAGTGTAATAATGCTGGATAGTTTCAGCGTAACAGTGCACACTAAACAGTGTTGAAACGCAGCCTTCTGGTCATTTTTATTAGAAGTTGCAGCTAAATTCCCACACTGCTCATTAGTACTCCATTTATTTGCTAACTTTTGTTACTAGTTGCTTTTGTTTGATGAATCTCATTCTGAAAATACAGTATAATCATAAGACTTTATTGAAAATTCACAAGCTACCCAGCAGTATATAAAGTGCTTCAAATATAGGCATATAAGGTGGTTGAGTCTTTACCAGCTCCAACATTAAATGTAATGTATGCAATAACGCATCAGTACTTTTATTAACACTTTTATTCTCAACATTTTGAATGCAGGACTTGTAACAGAATTTCTACACTGTGGTATTGCTAAACTGAGTACTTCTTTCACTGCCATCCCCTGGGGACATGAATGCTTTTTAAATTCTATCCTGCTGCTCACTTATACACATTTGTTCGATGCTGTCTCCTGTTATTCATTATCCAATCCCTCAGAGTCTTGTTGTTCAACATCTGTTTCTACTGATTTCAGGACTGAGGATAAAAAGTCCTTGCTCACATGCTCTTTTAGCATATTTAGTTTTGGTTGTACTCACGCACAAATCCTGTGTCCTTTGTGTCACCTTATACTTTACAAAGCATACGCTAACATTGGCCGACAGCTGGTAGACAGCTGTTGACATCACAGGGTTGACATCACAGCGGATATTTCAGCCTCTGTATGTTGAGTCACATGTATTGTGCTGATGAAGCCCAGTGAGAATTCAGAAAAAAAAACAGAAGCAAGCACAGCAGTGTAATGAAAAGAAACTGAAAGACAAAATGGGACATTTCTGTCCTGTGAGATAAAGTGGGTTCAGACTAGGTGTCTTTAGCAGGTACTGACTTAACTAAGTCCTGGCTGCTTTGTTCGCCTATCTGTTTGAGTGATCTAGTGTGCGCATTTTGGCTGGGGGTTTGTGTAATTTTTACTTAAGTGGATCAGAGCTGGATTTTGGAAAGTTCAAAACCAAGAAACTGGACTGTGTTCACTTTGATATGGGAACAGATAAGGAAATCAAATCCAGGCTTTGATCTGGTTCAAACCCTCAGAACAGGTGGTTCAAAACAAATCCATAGGATTGGGATCAGTTTGGTTCAATAAGCCTGGATAACCTTGATCGCACCAGAGGGCTGGATTTCTAGTGGATAACCAGAGCAAAATGTACTACACAATTAATTTAAAAACATGTTTCACTGTAAATAAGATGGTAATGTTTGTAAATTGAAGTAATACATCATCTATATGTTTGATGCATTCTCATTTTTGTAACATTTGCCATGGCCTCTTGCATACTGTACCTCTCAGAACAGTGTATTCATCCAAATCGGGAGTCTGTGACAATAAAATTTTCTTCAGAAAAGTTATGCCAATCACAATATTGATTAAACAAAAAAAAAAAATCTTCAACAATAAAGGCACAGTGATTTTATGCAAGTGTTATATAGTTGGAAAATATTCTTTTTTTTTATTGTTAAAATGGTTCTGAATTGCTGTACCGTCTGTGTCCTTATGATGTTCTTCATATCCACTAGCAGATAGGTAAGGATTAAAAGACTTATTCAGGATCTGGTAGTCTTGAAAGGTCTGAATCTAGATCAGGGTGATTTTTATCCTTAATTGGTTTGAAATACCAGGACAAAATCTAGCTGAGTTGTCTGATCCTGGATCGTGAAATATTGGATTTCCAAATCTGCTTGTCGTCACTCGGTGTTATACTGTAGCAGTGCAATGCTGAACGGGTGGAGTAGTCTTTTAAAATCACAGCCATTTGTGTTCACAAGTCACTACTAAAGACATTTATCAAGCAAAAACAATGAGCAATTTTAAGGTTTGGTCTGTTTGAAATTGTGATGGTCACGTTTCATTTTCTGACATATATAGACTAAATGATAAATTGGAAACATTTTTGCTGAACATATTCAGTCAGTTGCTCTTAGGATTCCTTGGTCTCAGGCCATGAAGCAGTACTTTAGCTCCAGTGTAAATAAGAAATCACCGGAAATCAAGGGGGCGGCCTTTTTCATAACAAAGGGGGAATGAAGAGCAAGGCACGAGGGGAGAGGACCCAGCGAGAAACTTGAGCCGCTCCATTGGAAATGTTATGATGGGTGAGGAGGAGCGCAAACTTTAAATACTGTACAAGCATTTGAAAACCACCAGGTGCCTTGAGATTGCAACCACAGGTACAGTGCCTTGAACTTTAAGGTATTTTGAATCAAAAGTATTTCCTCAGTGATCCCAGACTGTGACAGACAGATTTAATGGGGAGAATTCATTAAACAAGATAGCAAAATACTCAGTGGCAGAAGCATCCACAAGTAATTAATGCAGGAATCCCCTAAAATGTCATTGTGAGTTGCAGAAACCACAGAGTGGAAAATATGTGATGAGATTTTCTTTGTTGGAAGTAATGTCTCCAACTCTGTCTGAGGCTACTCCCATCATTTTTTCTGTTAATGGTTTACCAACAGTGTAAACCCAAATAAGTTAAAGTCTTTTGTAATACCAGTTTCTTTGCCCTGTTATTAGTGTTTCAACCAGTTGGGGTGAGTGGATAGAGGAGAGAGAAAAGAAAGAAAAGCATCAGGACACAACAAACAAGCACTGGGCAGGTTAATGTGGCCAGTGACTGCTCATCAGAAATGTTGAACTCTGGAGCAGTCTGTGGCACCATAACTATAAGCTTTATCCAAAAAAAAAATAAATAAAAAAAAAAATGTTAGTTTTACACTTAAACAAAGCAGAGAGCTTGCACAATGCCTGGATGTTTGCAGTTCAGTGAGCGGGTCTATTAGGGGGAATCCTATCCAGTAATTGTGAGCTGTGAGGTGGTTTTCTATGGGGAAAACCCATGATTTTCCCTGAAGTTTCTCCAAGTTGATTATAGATATGATAATACATTGTCTTGGCTGAGATGAAAGGCAGGCAGAGTGCCAGAGCACAGTTGGATTCAGATTACAAATTGTTCCCTACAACAGAAGCAAACGGGACACAAGCCGGTGATGCCATTAATGTCCTATGAAGACTGACTAGCAATATCAGTGGATAGTTTCATAGTCCATTCACTGTCCGTTTTTCCTTTATTCATGTTGCATTGTGAGTATGCATACAACTTGTTTGCATACTCACATACTCAGTGTTTTTATTTGTATTTTTGCCTATTTATTTTATCAGCATTTTATTTGCTTAATATGAGCTTGTATCTTGCTATTTGCACTTGAACTTACATTTTCATTTCAGTTTTATTTGTTTGTTCAGTGCTGCTGTATGTGCTCCCAGTTTTACAAGTTGTAATATTTTTATTTGTGACAAATTCAAAACTCTGGGGGCTTCACACTTCAATATGTTAATTGTGTTTCTCAGATGCAAAGTGCATCTGAGAAAGTCAATGTTAAGGCTAGAAGCCTGGGCGCTCAGTGGGCACCACTTGAATTCAGGAGTGGTTTATTAAATGGTCATATACTTGTATATCACTTTTCTATGCATTGCAGCACACTCAAAGCACTATCACACTACTTGGCCATTCACACATCACTGGGAGCAACTGGGGGTTCCGTGTCTTGCTCAAGGACATTTCAGCATGTTGAGTGGACAAGCCGGGAATCGAACCGCTAATCCTCCAGTTAAGAAATGATTCGTTCTACCTCCGGAGCCACAGCAGCCCCAAGTTAAAGGTTATTAAGGGACAGTCTTGTAGAGACAAGACTAAAGTGGCTTGAAGTTAAATGGTCAAATGTTCAAATTGTTGTTTGACTTTTGTGTATTAACAGGTTTTGCCAGTATGAAACAGATGAATTCCAGATGTTAGTGAAATTTAGTCTTGAAATAATGGTATCTTCATGATCATTAGTTTTCACACTGGCCCTTGCCAATTTGTATCAATTAAAATGTCAAAAACTGAAACTAAAATAAATGAAAATGAAACAGAAATGAGTCCATAAAATAAAAACTAAACTGGGACCAGTGAATTCACTGGTAGAACTAAACAGGAATTCAGATTGAATCAAAGAATAACATTGAAACACAGGAAGTGAAAGACTTGTGTGCCAGAAGCATTCGCTTTCTGTTCCTCAAGCTGTCACACTGTACTTCTCAACTGACCAGCTGTTGTTGTGTGTGGTGTGTGCGAATTAAGGAATCGGGGAATTCTGACCAGGCTGTGTTTAACAAATGTGTTTAACAGTGATTCTTCATCACTAGTCAAAATGTAGGACTCATGTTGATGTTCCAGCTCCCTGCCTCATGAAATAGTCCACAGCAGGCAACACCAGGCATGAAACAGAAGCAAAAACAGTAACATTGGTCACTTAGCATTTCTGTATTTTTATATTTATTCATATTAAAAATTTTTCTTTTTACTTCCTGTTGCTTTATAAAGCGCATTGAGAGGCTCTGATCTTTCAGATCAAAAATAACCTGAGGAGGGAGCTTGTCCTAGAGTTTGTCAGCAGTCCATTAATGCCCTGTGTGCTTGAGGGAAAGGGAACAGTGACATGGCCTTCCCCTCCATGTTGCCTAATCCAGTCTCCCCAGAGCGACCGCAAATCACATGTAAAATGGTCTTGGTAAGTGGTCTTATATTTGTATAGTGCCTTTCTATGCTTTACAGCACACTCAAAGCGCTTTCACACTATTTGGCCATTCACCCTCCCAAACAAACACACACACCAATGACATCACCAGGAGCAACTGGGGGTTCAGTGTCTTGCTCAAGGACACTTCAACATGTTGACTGGGCAAGTCAGGAATCGAACCGCTAATCCTCCGGTTAGGAAACGACCCGCTCTACCTCCTGAGCCACAGCCGCCCGTGTCTCAACTGGACAGGGAGGAACATCACTCATACAGCTCCTCCTAATACATCAGTGGGGTAGAAAGATGAGTTAATAAATAAGATAATACAATAGATAATAACTGTAATAGTGAGATAAAGATTAAATGAATAGATAGGAAAAAAGGGTGGGCAGTGTGTGGGTGAATTCTATTTTATTATTGATACAGTGGGAAAAACAGGAATGTGTCTTGTGTCATGAAAATAATAATGCTGTCAGCAACAACCATAAAGATAATAATAATAGTAGTAGTAGTGGCAGCCACCAAAATGTAAGAAACACACACACACATAAAAACAGCAAAAAAGAAACATGATAACTATCATTTTGATAACTATCACTATTTATAATAATGACAGAAAGATGCCTCAGCCCCAGGCATTTGGATCAAGTTGAGATGTGCCAAAGATGGGTTCCAGCTGTCATTAAAAGCTGATATAGTGTTCTTGTTAGTGCATGCTATTTTCTTTAATGTGAAGTATTCTGTTAGAAGGTTGTTCCAGTGATTTATGTGTGGTGAAAAGAAAGAACTATAGCAGTAATCAAGCAGAATATCTGACTATCCGGCCAACATCGGGGCCAGGAGTTGTTGTGTGGTTATTAATGTTTAACTTAAAGATGACCTTGAATGAGCAAAAAAAAAAAGACTAAAGTTGCACTCTTTCTTTTAACCTTTATTAACACAGAGCAATTTGTTGCATTTACGTCAGTACTGCAGTCAGACATGGTGTATCAGCACCATCTTTACCCCTCTCCAGGTCATAAATGTCATAATTTGAAAGGCAAGGCCATTTGGCCTTCAGTTTCATACATTTTAGGGGGCACAGAGGCCACATGAGTAGGCACTAAGACCCATAGACAAATGACATGTATGAACTGTACGTAACTTATATGTAGCCTATGCAGGCTGAGCAGTAAAGTTACAAACCAGGGTTTGGTGTTCAAAACATACTGTGCATGTTTAATTTAAAATACAAATGTTTGTAGAACTGTTTAAGGGAAATATGCCGAGATATTTCATGCCCCCGCATTGGCAGTAGTAGTAACTGTGCACCTTTTACTGTAATTTAGAGAGTAAATGGCATTTTGCTGGCACATTTAGACTCAGAGGCATCCTAAGTTCTTGTTGCTCTCTGCTGATGTTGCTTAAGCTCACAGGTCAAAAGAATCATGGCTGTATTAAGGAGGAAATGGTCATGTAATTTCTCTTCCTCATTCTAACTGATGCAATGAACATTTTTTTCTGGCACCATGATGACCAAATGACCAGCATCACTTCTGGCATGGTTTAAAATAAAAATAAATGTAGAACAGCTGCCTATGAAGGTTTTCATTTAGTTCAACACTACATGTAATGTTTTACAGCCTGAGAATTCTTACAACTTGTAGACAGAGCCAAATATTACATCCCTTGATCTGCTTACCAAGTTAAACCAAGGAAACCTTCTATGGGTATTGTGTATTTCATATGTGCCACCACTAGCTTCATTTTTACACTCTTTGAGCTGAAAATAACACTGAGATATAGTGAACGTAAGGTAACAGAAGTTCACTAACAGTTCAAAAAAACATTTATCTTACCAA